TGCTCTTTTAAACTATCTTTACGCTAATGCTTTTTACAATAGTATAAACACAATATAGTCAGTACTATCGCTGCCTTCGCCGCCTTTGCCCCCTCCTCTCCCCCTTATAATTAATATTAATTAAAAATAAGCCACGCCCCCGTGTCTAGCCTATCTCCACAACTACTATCATTTTTACATATTTTGATAATGTTTACTGGTAATTTTTCATAATTTATTATATTATGAAAATCACCAATACAATTTTTAGTACCTTTTTTGATGCTATTGTATAGCCTATAGCCTATAGGAATATAAACTTCAATACAGTACTAATTCTATCTGAAATATTGGGTATCTGGTTATAATTCTACTTCTATAATTCTAAATTGTAATAGAAGTTCTCAACTCTAGCAATATATCAATATAATTTAATAATAATTAACACAAATGTAATACTGTAATTGAAAACTAATATAACCGTAAAATAATCAATTTTGATTTTCTTTTGAATTTATGGTTTAAAATATCTTTTAATTATTTTGTTAAAAAAAATTTCTTTTAATAATAAAGAAAGTAAAATGTTATGTATTAAAGTGGATGTTAATGTAATGTACACTGTATGTAATATTTATAAACAGTGTGATTTTTATCACGTAAACATTATTACATACGCTTTCGATCGTAGAGTTAGCACAGAATGGCAACAACCGGTCCATACAATCGTCCAATGATTTTGTGGTAAACAAAAACACATTGAAGAGTTTAGAGTATGTCTTTCCTTCCCAACCATTCCGATCACTATATTGACACATACAATATGATAGCCATATTATTGCCGTCACTTATTGGCCACAAATTGAAGTCCCTTTGCATAGAGTGAGACATCTTTCATATCACGTCCACACCTAGTATTTAAGGTCCGCTGAATTGTCTTGCTTTTCATTCATACAGAAATCCAACATTGATTTCATTGAAAACAAATATAAAGATTGAAAATTAAAATTTAGCTTAAAATCGTGCTGTTTTAAAGTTGGTAAGGTTTTAAAACACAATTTCAACGGTTATATCTAATGAATGTTGTTCTCATAGATGAAGATGCATGTGGTACCGAATCCAGTGATAATGACCCCTGCTAAGTTTCACTTCCAAGTGAGTCGTTTGTGGACACTTCTCAAGAGGAATCCACGCCATTGGGGTTCAGTTGGTTCCGTGTTTGTAATCGTGCCCACTATGGCCTCAGTATCTGCCTATCATAGTCTGCACAGTCCGGACACAATCCTGACCCGAGCCAATCCTGAGCCCTGGCATCAGTTTGACCACAAACAGCACAAATTCCGTTCTCACATCGATCACCAACACTACGATCACCCGAGACCGAGGTTTTAGGTATGAGAGGTATGAGTGCATCTGCTTTACGGTCAAGTGGATCAGTCTTTCGAGACAGCAATCATATAATAGACAT